TTTTAGGTTGAGTGGGGAAAAAGTCAATTTGGATATTACTCTAAGCGCTACTACTTTATATTATTCACTCCAATGTCTTTGAATATAAACTAGGTACCTAAAGGTCTTGAGATGGGAATTGGTACAATGACACGGGAAGAGAAGGCAATAATATACGTGACCAGCAATTACTTAACTCCATCTCCTTTCCTGCCTGGGGTAGAAGGTGTTGAGGAAGTTCATTTTGAAGTAGAGCTTGCCCACTTTATTCAGGTGTGCAAAATTCTTCTTTATCATAAATCAAGTGCCTCTTCATGTCTCTTTGTTTTCTTCTTTATGTAATCATTTGTATAGCAAAGTTGGCAAGGATATATGCTTTTGTAGGGTAGTCAAGTTCTGATCCAGCTTTATGGTTCTGTATTATCAGGTGCGTGACATGCTTGGTGACGGGCGCCTGATAAAACGTCGTATTCATGATGGAAAAGGTGTGGTTCAAGAATTTTATGTTCCCAGTGAAATCAAGGTTTCTTAGAAACATAAATAGAGACATGATACATGATTTTCCATTATTTTCATGTCAGATTTTCCCAATGAGTCATTGACTCTGTTCCTTTTCAAATGGTAGAATTTTTGGTCCTCACGGATCTTTTATCTGCATAAGTTATATTTATGCATGAAGTGTAATGTTTCTATTATATTTCTTGAACAATTAGGTGAGTTTCCTATGGATTGTCCTCTTCATGACAGCCTACTACGTGTCCATTATAAGGGTATGCTTCTTAACGAGGAAAAGACAATCTTCTATGATACAAGAGTTGATAACGATGGTCAGCCTTTGGAGTTTTGTTCTGGAGAAGGCCTTGTGAGTTGTCCGCAAGCTTTCTGAAGAATGCTTAGTTTGTCTTCGCTTTTTCAGTTTGTGCAATATGTGTGCGTCTGTAATCTGTATACACTTTCTATATGAATGGTGATTAGTCGGAAATTCATTGCAGTGAAACTTTTATGTTGTATGATAGGTGCCCGAGGGATTTGAAATGTGTGTTCGTTTGATGGTGCCTGAAGAGATAGCTCTCGTCACATGCCCTCCTGATTATGCATATGACAAATTTCCTAGGTTATTTTGAGAATTCTAGCTTACCATTTATAATTTCTATCATAATTGATAATAAATAGTATACTAAAATGTAACACCTAGACACACAAATGGAAGTCTCCTGCCATTGTTTCTATTGTTTTTCCAGTTCAAGTGTATCACTGCTTTTCTTTCCATATCATAGGCCTGCTAATGTTCCTGAGGGTGCTCATATTCAATGGGAAATCGAGCTTCTTGGGTTTGAGATGCCAAAGGTAATCTTAAGTTTTTCTTCGAAGTTTTATTTTAAAAAATAAATTGTTTTGATAATGTTTGTAATTTGTTAAGGTATTAGTTTCTGAATATTTGTGGTTGATAATTTTAATTGTTCGTGTTAGTGTTAACTTTCTGTCAAGCAGTTGCTTCAATATGAGATGAAATTCTGACCTTCGAGAATTAGCTTTTGGCTTAGAAAAACTTCAAAGTGGTTGTGTACATTGTCTTTAGAATTACCTCTGCTGGTTCTTGATGGAAGAATACTTAATTATGGGCACTCTAAATGCTTTAGGTGCTGATGTGAGTCTCTGACTAAACTATGCTTAACTAGACATGCTCGTATGTTTTTTCTGGTTAGCTGGACATTTGTCTGAACTATGCGTTGAGTTTTTTTCTTTTTCTGTAGGTACCTACTTTTAAGCTCTACGCTACCAATGTGATTAATGCCTAATTCTCAAACTCATTGCAGGATTGGACTGGTTTAAATTTTCAAAGCATAATGGATGAAGCAGAGAAGATTAGAAATACGGTATTTATTATTAACATTAAGTGGTTATTGCATCAAACCGTAAACAACTAATGATATATTGACCCAGAATCTTATTGCATCAAAGCTGTGTCGGTGCTTAGTTTCTTGCTTTCATGCTTATCTTCAGAATTAAATTGTTCTGGTGGTATAAAGCTTGACTTCTTCGACCCTATATTCGTTTCAGGGAAACAGGCTATTCAAAGAAGGAAAATTTGAACTTGCTAAGGCAAAGTATGACAAGGTAATGTGCCCTTGCTTTCATGCGTCACCTTTAAATTACGTGTATATTCAAGATCCCTCTTACTAACCGAACCAAAGAATTAGTAGATATGTTCCACCCAAAATGGGAATGGACTAGGGTTATGAACTTAATTATCCATAATCTGATGATCAAGTCGATTCCGTGATTATAAGTTCATTCCATACCAGACCAAACCAGGATCCATTCTAATTATGAGAAGGGTTCATTTGAGCTTATTGGGTGTGGGTCCATTCTACCTTTGTATAGAAGCATGTTTTCTTACTGAGGTCGCCTGTCAATTAATGTCATTGCAAGTTTGCTGTTGCTTGTTACAAAACCGATTTTTTTTTTTTCTAGGAGTTCACAGCCACAGTTTATCTTATGATTTGAGTTGTATTCCTGGAATCTAACTGCCATTAACTCAGTTTCTGTTCAAGTATAACCCAATTTAATTTGATTTTTTTATGGATGGGTGATGACACTGCATTCTGATTAAAATCTTTTATTTTTTATGATTTGTCATTCTATGAAATCATAATCTACTTTCTGCTCCAAGCCATTAAAAATGTGTCTCTCATCCTTTATAGGCGTATGATCTTATCTGTCAGATGGTTTTTATGCAGGTGCTTAGGGAATTTAATCATGTTAATCCTCAAGATGATGAAGAGGGGAAAATATTTGCAAATACAAGGGTAACCATTATACCTGTGCTTATTGATCTTATCCTCTGTGTATTTAATTTTCTGTAATTGCTTAATTCTTGTATCTTGCAATGGTAAACACCTTCTTTCTCTAAGTCGAGCTGCACAACCTGTGTGGTTGATAACTATATGTCGAGGACTCATAATTGGTTCTCTTTTGAATGTTTGAAGAATCTGTTACATCTGAATGTTGCCGCATGCTTCCTGAAGATGGGAGAATGCAGAAAATCCATCGAGATATGCAACAAGGTATGTATTGCTACTTTCATATTGAAAGATAAAGGGTCTGGATAATTAGTAATGTAGTCCGAAGTGAAGTCTTTTCACTTTGGTTTGTAATGCATTCCCGCTGGAACATCTAGGTTTTAGAAACAAACCCTGGACATGTCAAGGCTCTTTACCGCCGAGGTATGGCCTACATGACTCTTGGAGATTTCGAGGAAGCAAAGAGTGACTTCAACATGGTAATGCTTGTAAATAATTCAGTGATATTTTTATTGATTAAATTCTTGTTATTCCTTTTCAAAGTCGCTTCTCGATGCTTTTAGATGATAAAACTAGACAAGTCAACTGAACCTGATGCTACAGCTGCTCTGCTAAAAGTTAAACAGAAAGAACAGGTGAGTTGATCAGCAACAATTTGTTTATGATTTGAGAGATGGAGCGGGAATTGTTTAATGCGATTGTCATTGTCTCGCCATTTATAATCAGGAAGTTGAGAAGAAGGTGCGGAAACAATTTAAGGGACTATTTGACAAGAAGCCAGGGGAAATTTCAGAGGTTGGAACTGAAGACGTAGATCAGCCTGCAGTTGAGAACCCTAAGAATGATGATAAGGAGGATTCCGACGGAGATAATTCAGACGAATCTCATGAAACTGCAGATGAGCCTCCCAGAACATCCTGGTTCTCTTTCCTCTGGCCTAAAAGACTACTTGCAGCCCTAGGGCGGCCAGGATGTACGATTTTGTGATCAACGTCTCAAATTAATGTTGCGACGCTGTTCCGGCCATCGGCCCTACCGGAGGTTCGATTATAGACAGGTTATAGAAGTATAGTCAAGTGTAAACAATGGTAGACTATAGAGCTTTCTATACTCCACAAACAGTGGAAATCATGAAAATTAATGTTTTAACTTCTTTAATGATTTTGTCAAGGGTCCCATAACCTGTGAACGGGTCTTGTTCTTTACAGCATAAATAGCAATAAGCACGTCAACTGGTTCAGGTAGACTGAGCTCCACTGACCAATCACGAACGAGATCTCATGGACGGTTGCTGTTACTGCAAGAGTCAAATGACCTTAATCCATCCATTGATCTATTTGTTTCTCTTAATCCCAAGTTAATGACAAATATAATTCTAGTTTATACATTTCTGACGGTGACAAAAGGATGACACACATAAATCGAGAAATGGTCCAAAAATTTTTTGTTCAAAAAAAAAAAAGAAAAGAAAAAGGTTCATCATTATGTGGTGTTAGAACTTCTAATTCAAAAGGGATAAGTTCTAAGGTGTTGATTATGATTATGATTAGATTGGATTGAATTACTTATATGATTTGAGATACGTTGAAATAAGATTTAAAGGCCGAGGTGAAGGGTCATAATTTTGTGGGTATTAAAACTTCTAATTCAAAAAAAGAATAAGTTATGAGGTATTGATATTTTACCAGTTTGTGGGGATTGAAATAAGTTTCGTTTATGAGTAATCTAACTTCTACCTGTTCGGACCTTTTTATTAATTTCAATAGTCAACATGCCTTAATTTAGTTAGCTTAGTCCAATCTTATTTACCAAATGAACCTCACTATCATGATGTGTTTGACATGCTGATGTGGTGTATCAAACGCATTACAATTGTAACATATGTATTGAGTCTAGTGGTACGAGAAGGGTAGAATAATGAAGTAGGATTCTCCCTCAACTTTCTTGAGGTGTAGTTCAAATATTAGTTCATTCGAACAGAAATATGCAAGTCATACAATATTAGTTCATTTGACCAACAAGCAAACTAGCTAAAACACAAGTTACACAACACAACAAGCACATGAAAATCTTTGGTGAAAAAAAAGCGCAACCACAACAACAAGCGCACACATAAAATATGGGGCAACTTTTGCTCACCACCCTCCTAAGTGATGGTGATGTTCACCACCTCATTTATCATCGTTTGATGAATTTAAATTTGAAAATTTATAGATGTCAAAATTTAAACTCACAATAATAGATGAGATGGTGAGCAAAATTATTTCCCGATAAATATATTCACGCACTTTATAACAAACCAACAAAAAAAGAAGATAGAAACAAACCCAAGCACCCACACAAACTTAAGCACCGATCAACAACAAGAAGACAAATCAAACTTTGGGCTCGGGCGAGTCGGGGTGTTGGCCATGATCACGAACCTTAACGATGAAGAAACCTAGGGCATGGCCGGCCACGGCGGCGACGAGGATTCCGATATTGAATGACATGACAGAGAGCATGACCAGGTAAGCCAAACCGGTACGAAAGGTGTGGACGCCGGTCTGACCGAGGAGCGATAGGTAGGGTTTGGCTGCCGGTCTGTGTTTGGGCAAAACGGACAATACCTCGATGGCGACAGCGAGGAGGAAGATGAAGAAGAAAGCCAAGACGTACATGCCGAGGTTGTTGTTAGGCCACTTGGGGAAGAGGATGATGACATCTTTGCCCCATGTGAGGCTGCTGCTCATCATCATGGTACCATAAGTTGTGTTCGTCAGGTCGCCCTTGGGCGGAGGAGACATATTTGACATGTCGTCCATTTCTCTCTCTAGAGGGAGAGAGAGAGATAGAGAGACAAAGAGGTTGGTTTGATTACTTCGAATGAATCAGGTTTTGGTGGCAATGGAAGGTGATTTTTTCTTCTTGATTTTAGTGTATATTATATAAATGGAGGAGCTGGAAAGCAACGACGTTGGGGCTGATGACGATCGAGGTTTGAGAGACCTGAGTGGCCTTCTTTTTATTTTACAATGGCTTTTGTTTGTTTCATATAGCTTTTAATGTAATTTTACAATTTCTACAGTTCCACTTTATTAAACTTTTCAAGATGTTCTGTAACTTGCGTTGTCATACTAAATATAAAACTTTAAACAAGTTTATTCTAATGTGATATATGACATATGTAAGTTAGGTCAGTTAGTTATATAATGTGTCTGTCTTTACATACTTAAGTTCGAATCTTATTTCCCAATAAATTGGTGTAGTTGAAACATTAATTTTTCAAAACCAAAATATATTTAACTTTTCTTTCAAATCCAAAGTCGGAGAATAAATCATATATCTAGGCCAAGATCATTACGTTGGTCCATTAATTTTATATTGGAGAAGGAAATAAAAAGATTCAATGGTGCTTGGAAAGTGGAGTGGAGGAGTGGGCACGTATAAGGGAAATGACAGAAATAAAGGTGATGGAACTAATAAGGATTTGACTATCAAACAATACAGGATTAGTGGAATCTAATAACTTAATCGTCTTTGGTATTTCAGGATAGGAGTCTAGGAGAGGTACTAGTCCGTGCACCATATCTAACCATACTGCCAGCTAGTGGTAGAGCTGTGTTTTGCAAACATTTAAATAAACAATATGACACTAGCTGATGAGCACGTATTTTTGTATGTGTGAATAATTTTATTTTGTTTTTTGTTTTTTATTAAAGAATGTGATCAGTTTTTAAAATTTTAAAAGAGTATGAAATAATGATGATGTAACAGTTTCTCTTAATAAGTGCATATTTTTTCTTAATATTACATAATTAATGTTTTGTCTTCCTTATGCAAATATTATGTATCAAAAGTAAGCGTAAAATAGGAAAAATAGGAATATGATTGTCATTAAAAAAAAAAAAAAGAGTATAATAGGAAAAATAAGGATATGATTGTCATTTTCTCAAAAGATAGAAAATTACTGTTTTGCCCTCCTCATGTCAATATTGTGTATCAAAAGTGAGGGCAAAATAAAAAAAAATGAGCAAAAAGTTGACAAGAAGGGTTCTCTTCGTAATAGTATAGATTATCCTGAACTTATAGTTAATTAATTAGTTTTGAATCAGCAGGGCTTAGGTAAATTCAAGGATCAGACCATGAATTTCTAGCTTCAATGACCAAAAAACTGGAGATGCACCTGTCTGCATGCGCAAGCAAAGATATATGTACGATGGTTAAATCCTACGTAATTGTTTCTACTTGGTTATAGTGGTAGGGACATTATATATATCATTGTTGCATCAATGCGAGTTGAAATTGGATCTCCTCTAATGATTAGATTTAAATAGTATAACTCTCTCCATTTGTTTTCTCTGTGAAAATATTTCCATGATTGATTGTTAGGAGGACACAAGATGTTTTACATTATAGAATAAGGTGAAAATTTACAGATCCTTGCAATACATGACAGATCCTCCTCAATTGTTGGCTTAATTAGCCTTACAAATGATGAATCAAAGCTATTTTCTTGAAATATTAAAGGTAAAACTATTCATTGACAAAAGGTAAAACTAAATCTGATCATCAACTAGGCATAACAAAATCAAATTTCAACTAGGCTGGGGAAGCAGCTGGTTTGGCAAGAGCAAGAGCACTGGCCTTGACTATAAAGTACCCGAAGGTGTGGCCTGCCACAGCGACTATGAAGATTCCGGCGTTGAATGACATGACAGCGAGCATGACCAAGTACCCCATGCAAATTCGAACAGAGTAAATGGACGCATGAGTGATCCCCGCCACAATCGGGTTCATGCTAGATTTGACAACGGGCCAGGCAGACAAAGCTTCCATAGCAAAGGCTAGCACAAACACAAACAGTAAAGCCAATATGTACATGCCAGTGCTTTCATTAGGCCAGCCTTTGAATAGGATTGTAGCCTCATTTCCCCAGTGGAAGTTCATCTGCATGTTCATCTTCATCGTGTCCTCCATCCTTTCCTTGCTTGAGATTTTGGCATGGCAAGGTTTTCTTGTTGGTTTCGGTGTAATATAGTTTACAGATGAGACATGCAAGTGTTGAAAACAATGTTGTTGGGACTTGGTTTGGAGGTGATTACAAGAGCTGAGGGACAAATGGCCGCTCTAGAGTTCTTCCAAAGATGGGTATAATTAAACACATTTGGAGTTGGTGCTAAGAAGCTAAGATGTTATATGCTTTAAATTGATGAGAAGGTAAAGCCCAATTATGTCAATATCTCTTCTGAAATTCACCAGTTACATCATTTATTCTGATCTGAAAATGTATCATATGTTATTCACTTCACAATTGAAAGAAACTTAAGCCACAAGACCTATTCTTATTATATTTATCTTTCATTACTGGGAGATGCTTCTGATCTTTGTAGTCAGACCTTTTCGTTCTACTTTTTCCTCCCAAATGTTCCATGATAATCGAAACTGTCAACTTTTTAGTTCACTCTTTATATATCAACTATGTTAAAAATCAACCATATTAATTTAACTATCCGATTACAATTGTCGAATTTTCTATGTTTAAATGAATAACATTATTTATCCATTTATTAGATAATCATCATATGACTAATGATTTCTCATTTGATTAATTTTGGATAGAGTTGATGTGAAGTTAAAAATAGACGATTTAAATCATCGTACAACAATAAAAAATAAAAATAAGAGCGGACTAACACTTCTGTTCACCAAATCATGAAGTGACTGTATAAAACTTTCGTTAAGTTATTAATACAGTTCTAATTCAGAAATATTACAAACATGCAGTTAGTAGTGCCAATGCACTCAAGTGCACATACACAAACAAAAATGTAAAGGAAAATTTTATTTGAATCCATGTAATCTCTTTTCACACCCAATTTATTCTCTTCACCCATATTGTTTTTTATTAAAGAATTAATCTCACTTTAAACCCAAATTTATTACCTAAACTACCCTCTCAAACCCTATTCAAATGTTAAGTTATCTTTACACTCATTCCCTTTATAAAATAACATATGTGATTGAATTTTTTATTTCTAAAGAGGCATCCTTGCCCCACCCCCTTCTTCCCACTAGCTTTTCCAGGGCTGCTTTTTTTTCCTTCTACTACCAAACCTAGACATTTGCCTTTTTTCTTTCTACTGATGTGCATAAGCAACAAATCAAACAATTCATCCCCTTATATTTATCAACAAGTAAGGAAGTTTATAATCTAAGAACATTGGTAAGAAGTTTTTCTGTGACGACCCGTCCTTAATTTTCTATGTAATTTCTTCCCGACTATGTAAATTGTCTATTATACCCTTGTAGACAAGTGATGTGGACATGTTTTTATCGTTTTATTTTATTCCTCGCTATCGCTTTTAAATTGTACTCGTTGTTGCGAGAGTACGAGAATTTTTATCAATGTGAAAACATTATTTCGGATAGATTTTCGATTCTCTTTTCTGTACAAAATCTAAACTCTATCCTTGGTTTTCTTTAAAGCCAACATGTGCACTCCCCATTATTTCACTCCCTCACCAATCAACTCCCTCAAATCTCTCACCAATCCCATCCATTCCCTCCTCATGGCACCCAATCAGAAAAGCAAAAGAAAAAGCTTTCTCTCTCTTCATTCTCTCTCTCCCTCCCGGAACTCTCTTTCTCTATAACTACGAGCACCAAAGCATGTAGATCTAGCTTAAAAACCTCACCATTACGTTCATTTCATCTTCATGAACTCAACCATACCAACCAACCTTAGTTTGACCGAGTTTTGGACGTCGAACTCGGAAGGTCCAAACTCAATGAGTTTGAGTTCATCAAATTCTAGGCCGAGTTAAGGAGTTTTAAAGGTCAAGGAAGCTTTCCCACAACTTTCCGAGACCTCTAGGACAATTTTGAAGAAGCTTCAATGTTGAAACAACTGAGTTTCGAGGAGTTCATTTTTGGCCGGAACTTTTGAGGTGATTTCCAACCACCTCTGTCCACTCTTTAGACTCCAAAAATGTATAATGCAATTCTACTCTTCATAAGCTTCAAATTCATATAAAGTAGGTCGAAAATGGTTGAGAAATGAAGAAGTTATGCAAGTTCGAAATTTTTCCAGAAACCGGCAAAATTCGAGTTGCAGACGGCTGCGCTGACGGCAAAGGATGAGGCAGACGACGGAGGTCGCCGAAGAAGTCAAGGAATATTCCGTCAAAGTCGACGGAATGTTCTAACGGTGTCAGATAATGTCGTTAATCTCTGTTAAGGTTTTAACGGAATATTCCTGATGGCGTCAGTTACACTGGGGGCACATGCCTGCGCGTGGGGGCGCGTCTGGCCGTGCCTTGGTCAGCGTGTACGGGGTCCAGAAATTTATCTAAAAATTTGTGTAGGTCCATGCCGTCGAGTAGATTGATTTCATGTATTTAAACCCTTGGTTTGAGCAAACTATGGGGGTTTTATTTAAGTTTCCATATATGTGCTTTAATTAATTCTATTATAGTTATTTCACATATAGGGGAAACATATCCTGAAGACTTACAGGGCCAGGCTAAGCTCGGGGGCTACGACCCTATGATGTACTTGTGAGTGGGCAGTTTATTTTATACCTATACATATTTATAGTTTCCCTAAATGCGTAGTTACTCCACTTTTACGTTTATATTGCCAAGTATTCGTTATTGTGATATTAAATGTGATAAATGCTGCTATATGTTTGGGATATTACTGTCGTGACATTCATACATATTTGTACATGCTCATCTTGCTACACCGATGTTAGTACTCGCCCCAGGGCCAGGGCCAGTCCTTCACGTATATGTTCACATCGCACCATTAGCTCACCTTGGATCCAAGTTAGGTGCCAGTCATGTCGGGCAGATTACATTAGATTACCTTGACAGTTCTGACATTCTACGGTAGTCATACTATCTATTATGCTCTGAATAATTGTAGTGGGTTATTCCCACGATTGTGCACTCTTTCACTGTTTAGTACAATTAGTTCTAATTTGTTTTAAATTTATCCATTTTTTCACATCACTTACCCTTATGGTTACGTCACCTCACGGTGATGGCCAGCATGCTACGACCTTCCTAGGTTGGGGTGTGTCATTTTCCTTAGAATATTCCAATTGCAGAAAGTTTAACAAACCATTCGGGATTGATGAAAAGAATTGAAACCCAAATACTTATCTTCTAAACTTTAAAAAAATTGAAATCAAACGAACAAAATATTCATAAATTGAGTAATATCTTAGTTGGACGATTCAAAACTTCAAAATCACTATCCATCAATAAAAAAGCTTGTTTTTCTCTACAAGACATAATAGGGTTTGAGCCTGAATGAACGTAAGATAAACAAGAAGTGATGGTAGGGTTTAATGGGTTTATTGATAAATTTGAGTGTTATTATTAATTTCATTTTGTACTTAATAGTAATTATGTAATAAAGTAAAATAGACAATTAACAATTTAAATTTAAGTTGGGTGTAAAAAAAAAGTTACATGGTTCAAATAAAATTTCCTAAATGTAAAGCCCACCCCACAATCCATTATCCGCACCTCATGGGAGGAAGATCTGACGGTCTCTCAGAACCCGAACCGCCCGACTTCTTCCAAACCCCACTCCCAAACGCCAAGAACCCAACCGCGTGCCCGCCAAGCGTGGCAAGAAAAACGCCCCCATTGAAAGACATGACGGCGAGCATCACCAGATACGACAACCCCGAACGCACCGTGTAAAGACACGTCCGCAGCAGCCCCGCCGTGACGATATTAGTTCCGGGCTTGATTAGCCGGCTGTGAGAGAGCCACTCGACCAGCACGCCCAGAAGGAAGACAAACACCAATGAAATGGCGTACATGGCCGGGCGGTCGGGTCCTGGCCAACCCGTGAAGAGAACCTCCGCGCCTGTGGCTCCAGAAGAATGACATATGCATCATCATCCTGTGGCGACGCATCGGCATGAACCCGCCACTATTACTGCCGTTAATCAGCGTCGCTGCTGGTGGGGATGGAATGTTATGATGTGAAGCAGTCATTTTAAAGCTACACTCGGGACCAGTGGATTGAAGAGGAAGACTTTAACTACTAAGACAATCTACTACTTGCAGTTTAGATTAAAGGGGTATTTGGTACTTGGCGAAATGGAAGCAAGGACTTAATGACCCAAGAAAGAGCTAACAGAACTGAGAAGTTCTCTTCCTCGACTTCTGGTAGGTCACGCTGGTTCTCTATTTCTACACTTCTGGTAGGTCACACTTTTATAGGAAGTAAAAGGTATTGTTTTTTTATTTTATTTTATTTTTATTTTGGTTCGTTTACAAGCAGTTCCTGGCACGAAAGCACCATACCAAATTTATATTATAGGCTTCAAACTTTCAAAGCCTTCTAAAAGCTAGTTCCAACTTATTGGTCCAAAAAAAAAAAAAATTTCTTATATGCTACGAGCGTTGGATTGATTAAATTGATTTGAATTATTACTTTTATTGTGATTCTGTAAATTTAAGTCATCTCCACCGCCGCACCACCTGCAGCACAGCAGCACCCGTGGCCTCCTAGCCACGCCAATTCCAATCCTCGTCCTCGCCAAGCCAAATTTTCAAGTCTCAAGGCTCCAGAAAATTAAGAAGGAAAAATGAAACTTTTTCTTACCTTGGTGCGGTGCAGAGAAGAAGAACAACAACGTGAAACGATTATTTGCAAGGGCAAGAGAAGAAGAAAGTTAGGGAAGGGGAACAAATTTCCTCTAACTTCTCTCTTCCTTGTAGGGATAAAAATTAGTTCTCCAAATTTGTTTAATCCCCCTGCTTAAAGCAGAATTAAATAGATATTGGTGGCATTTGGTTTCCATTTCCTAGAAGAGTATCTCCAAGTCAAAGAAGGAGATCTACATCAAACTAGGGAGGCAAATTGGGACTTCTACACCTACTGTCCTTTTCCTTCATGCAGCCCAGTAGGTGTGGGGGCATTTGTAAAGACTAAAAATAATCTCAAAAGCCTAG